TTTGTTTTTGTTTTATAAATATGAACTTTATTTTATTTTATTTTATTTATTTATTTTTTCCCATTTATTTATTTTATTGTATTTTAGGTTTTGGGGTACATGTGAAGAACATGCAAAATTGTTGCATAGGAACACACATGTCTCATTTCACATCAAGTTTCTAATGCTGCAATTCAAAGAAATGGGAGAGTCAAAGAATAGCCAGCCTGCCTTTATTTTTTTCTTCCTGCCTTTCCTCTCTATCAAATCAATCAATTGATTTTTTCCCCTATCTTTAGCATTTTAAGCTGTAAGAATAATTAAGGACTGAACACAAATTTCAGTTACAATTAGCAGACACTCAGTTCATGTGAAACCATTTAAGTCCACAATAGACAGAAAACTGTTAGAGAGGGCTTGCCTTTAAGTTTATAACCTGCATCAGCTGCTTAAAATTGCTGGCATTTTTATGATCGCTTTTATGATGTTTGTTTTATTGTACATTGAAAGGACTGTGGATATTAGTCCTATGTTTCACAAAGAAATCTTACAGTTTTATGTGAAAAATGAAAGAATGATTATCAAATATATTTAGAAGAACAGGAAGTAATTTAGGTTTGGTATAGGTTTATAGTGCCAGTGGTCCATTAGACTTCCTTTCACCTGTTATTAGATTCATTGAGCAAGGGATTGATTACATTTCCCCATATGAATCCACATAAAAGCAGAAAGTTGTGCTTAGACCAGCCTCTAATTCCGTTCACTAAATGCATTCATAATAAAATATTCTTTTAAATTTCTACTATCATTCACATTTTCTTACATATGTTTATTATTAGTACTTGTTGGCTGGTTGGAGATTTTTAAAATCTTTTTGCTTTACATTATGTAGCCACTATCTATTGTCAGAAAATTCCCAGTGTCATTAAGATGAGTCAATACAATTCACACTTTCTCTTGGTAACTTTATGCTTGCATGTCAGTTCTCTTGAACTGTTTCTCTGCTTCCTAGATTTTGAATATGGTTATTAAGCATTCACCTAGCAAATGGCCTTTCCTACTTATCTTAGTGGCTTGATATTCAAAGAAATTTGCCGTACAGTATTTACAAATGGCCAGTTTTATGATGGGCTCTTTTTTTTGTTAAAAAACATTTTTTTTTTTTGGCTGGGTGTGGTAGCTCATGGCTGTAATCCCAGCACTTTGGGAGGCTGAGACGGGTGGATCACTTGAGCTTGGGAGTTTGAGACCAGCCTGGGCAACATAGTGAAACCTCACATCTACTAGAAATACAAAAATTAGCTGGGTGTGGTAGTGGGCACTTATAATTCCAGCTACTTGGGAGGCTGAGGCAGGAGAATCGCTTAACCTGGGAGGTGGAGGCTGTGGTGAGCCAAGATTGCGCCACTGCACTCCAGCCTGGGTGAAAGAGGGAGTCTCCGCCTCAAGAAAACAAAAACAAACATTTTTTTGAGAGACAGGGTCTTGGAATTCAGTGGTACCATCACAGCTTGCTGCAGCTTCAACCTCCTGGGCTCAAGTGGTTCTCCCACCTCAGCCTCCCGACTGGCTGTAACTACAAGCATGAGCCACCATGCTCGCCTAATTTTTCAAATTCTTTTAGAGCTGGTGTCTCACTGTGTTGCCCTGTCTGGTCTTGAACTCCTGGTCTCAAGTGATCCACCCTGCTTGGCCTCCCAAAGTTCTGGGATTACAGACATGAGCCACTACCAGCCTTCTGTTAAAATTGTATTCTCCTTATAACTAACCTTTTCAATTTCATTTATTACATGGTGAGGTCATAGCAGAGAAATTAGAGGAGACAGAATTTGACGTTGGGAATTTAAAGTGACAGCTTATCCATTGAAAGTTGTAGCATCTTGTTCTGAGGAATGTGGGGTTAGAAAGAAGCCAGGAATGATGGAGAATGAATGAATGCGTGTACTCCAGTACTTATTTCACTTTCTTCCAGGATCTGCTTATCTGAAACGCAGTACTTTCAGAAGCTGTTGTTGGGTCATTGTTTAACTTATACCTTCCCACCAGATGCATCATATTTTATTAACAACTTACAGATGCAAATCATCAGTAATGTACTTTTGCTTGCAAAGAATTCACTTCTGTGGATGTCCACCATTGAAGCTTAGAACAATAGTTTTAGGCCAGCATTAAAAGCTTTGAGTATTCCGTTAGCTTCCCACCAGGGACCAGGCCTTTCTGTTTGTGTCTTTGCCAGCTATTTCTTCTGGGGAAATGGTTTGAGCTTGCTGTGGAAAGTCAGATGCTTTAGTTTTCCCAAACTCCTCTGACATTACTGACCTTGCAAATTTTGTTTTGAGGCTTGAGTTTGAAAGTAAAAATGGCCATACTCTTGATTTTGTTAAAAGAGTAAGATTTTGATGCATTCAATATAATGGAGGATTATATTAAAATATTAGTGATCACGGATTTTTAAAAAATAGTATATACATTTGTCCATCACCTTCTGTTCAATTTATGCAGCTTAGGAAAAAAATTGTTGTGGAGAACAACAACAAAAAAATTGATATACTCTGAGATTTCACATTATGTGTTACAGATTTCAAAAATATAAGAAAGATATTAGAATGTAGGTCAAATAGAGTTATCAATATGTAGGTTTTGCAGATATTTTCAGAAAATGTACAGAAAATACAATTATACTTTTACAAATACTGGAAATTTTTTTGTAAATTTAGGTTGCTACTTTGGACACACAGATTGCAGATGATGCTGAGTTACAGAAATATTCAAAGGTAAGCATTTTTTTTTTTTAAATAACAAAGTTAACAGTGTTTTTTTTTTTTTTTTTTAAGAGATGGGGTCTCACTGTGCTGTCCAGGCTGGTCTCAAACTCATGGGCTCGGCACAATGCTTCCAAAGTGTTGGGATTACATGTGGAGCCACTGAACCCTGCCTGTTTTTCTATCGTTTGAAGAACTTTCTTTAAATTCTTGCTTAAGAAACTAGTGCTATGACTTAAAGTTTTCAGAATTTAGTCTTGCCTGTTTCCTGGAAATGTGACGGGTCTTGCTGTTATGAAAAATGGTGTCTGGGAAGAACATGGGATCCCTGTGTCACATCCAGAAGCCAAAACCCAGGTTCGACTCTTTTGCCCACCTTAGAGGTAGTATGCAGAGTAACATTGTGCAGTGTGTGTTAGCTTTTAGATGTTATAAGAAGTCCTTTTATAAAAGTTTCCTAAAAATCAAGACCCAGCAGTCCACACTTTAGAAAAGCCTTCAGGTTCAACTATTCCAGGAAAGAAAAGTGGTTTATCTTCTGAGTGTAGGCAATGGTTGTTCTTGAACTTAAAACGTTTTTGGTAAGCTTTATTTCTGGTGGCAAGGTGCCAGAAGGCAACTTCTACAGTTTTTTTCCCCAACGTTTTTAGTGTTCTGTCACTAAAATTTCCCATTCTGGATAAGCAGAGGTCAGGGCAATTGAAACTTAAAGAAGCCTTGTAGGTGGGTCCTCAACAATTGGTAAGAAAGGAAAGATGTTCTTGCCTGAGTGTTTCAGAAGTCGTACTGTAATTCCACATCTGACATGAGAGCTGAGCCCACCCTAAACTCTTCTGTCACATGCAGTTTTAAAAATGTATTTTCTGCATCCCATGCAGGTTTCATAAAACATTGAAAAGTCTTTAGATAGTGCTACTATTTTCTTCTTTGTTGAGTATTTGTAATGAATATTTGTCTGTCGTGATTTTATGCTATGTGTGCCATGATTTTGTAGGTTTGGATTTTCTTTTTTTTTTCTTTTTCTTTCTTTCTTTTTTTTTTGCGATGGAATCTTGTTCTGTTGCCCAGGCTGGAGTGCACTGGTGCCATCTCAACTCATTGTAACCTCTGCTTCCTGGGTTCAAGCGATTCTCCTGCCTCAGCCTCCTGAGCAGCTGGGACTACAGGCATGTGCCACCATGCCCAGCTAATTTTTTTTGTTTTTTTTTAGTAGAGATGGGGTTTCACCATGTTGGTCAAGCTGGTCTTGAACTCCTGACCTCAGGTTATCCACCTACCTCGGCCTCCCAAAGTGCAGGGATTACAAGTGTGAGCTACCCTGCCGGGCCAGGTTTGAATTTTCAAGGCTGACACTGGAGAGCCTTTCTTTCCTTCTCAGCTTACCAGCATTTTGAGTCACTTCATTGTGACTGTGTTGGCCAACTGACCAAGCTTTCCTCAGATGTACAAAATCTGAGGAAAATACTAAAAGCAATATGGCTCATCTTGTAGATCAATTTTAAATTATTTATAAAATCAGATTAGCTTAGAGTAATGACTAATTATTAATTCCCTCTAAATATATTGAGAGGAATTTAATTCAAAATAAGAGTAAGAAATACAAATACCAGGCCAGGCACGGTGGCTCACTCCTGTAATCCCAGCACTTTGAGGGGCTGAGCGGGTCGATGATGAGGTCAGGAGTTTGAGACCAGCCTGGCCAATGTAGTGAAATTCCATATTAAAAATATAAAAATTAGCTGGGCATGGTGGTGTGTGCCTATAGTTCCAGCTACTTGGGAGGCTGAGGCAGGAAAATCACTTAG